CATAAGGTAGGTTTATCAGTTAGTTTAGGTGTTTCCCTTAACTTCAGTACTAAGAATTAATGTTTAAATGGTTCTCTTGGGTACCTTGCTTCTTGTTGTAGTCCATCTTCGTTCCCCTTTTTTTTTTTTTTTTTAAACGACCTTCTCTTTAATACCAAAGATATGCATTCTTCTGATTTTTGAATAGTTGGTTGAAAGAGATTTGTCTAAATTTTAGGTGCTGAAACCTGTCTAAATTTTAGATTAATACAGAGTTATATGTACTTTATTTCTGCATTGTCTAATTTAACATGTTACTAAAAAGGATATTAAATAAATAGACCTTATGAAGTGAAAAATGCAAAGATTGTTTGTTGGTAACAGCATAAGTCAAATCTGAACCTTGTAAAATCTTGTATGACCTAGAAAGTTAAGAAAAACCAAGTGAGATAGTATACACAGCATCTGCACGTACATACTTAGTTCGATGGAATTGCAAAAGAAGTGGAAGGTTTGAGAATTCCAAAAACAAAGACAAAGACAAAGACAAAGATGAATCAGAATGAATGAAAGGAAGAGACAATGTTTGGGACGAAGATGTTCTATGTTTCATATGTCTCCGTTAAGCTAGACACGTGTCTTTCATTCCATTATGATGTCTCAAGTTATGGGTTTGAGGTGTGTTTCTGTAAATGGACGGGAATCCTAGTTACGGGGTATCTCCTAATGTATACTAGACTTTCTCCATATTGCATGATAATTTAGCTGGGAATAATAAACAAGTTTCGAAATAAATGAAAGAAATCTAGAATAGTGGGGCAATAAATGTGGAGATGGATATGTTTCAAATGGAAGGTTGTATCCGAATAGCACATACACATAATACTTAATAAATGCATTACACTAGCAGTACAGTGAAATGTAATCAATATGGGAGTACGGTAGTAGGATTTTCCTTGGAATTCAAAGGGAAGATGACGGTGGGTAAGTGCTATTAATAATTTGAAGATAATTTTCAGATTCGGCACATGGTACATAAGATAATAATTAGATTTTGTGTTTATAGAATTTAAATTAAATTTATTGGATAATTTAATATGAAGGAAATTATATAGTATACTATTAGATAATAAAACAGCTGTAGGATATATATGTAACAACTGAACCTTGGCCTAGCAATTTCATTACCATTTTCACGGAAAGAAAGATTCAGGTTCATCTGATTTCTCTTCCTCATCTTCTCATTAATATATATAAAGGGTTAAAAAAGGATGATAGAGCAGAGTTAGGGATGGACTTACTGGAGATGGGGAGATTGCAAGGTTCCGTGAGTGAACTGACTCAGAATAAATGAATATGGTGAGCAAGATGAGAAATACTAATCTCTGTGTTCTTAGTTCCATTCTTGATAAGGTCTTCGTTGCAGATGGAGAATTTAATTACATGGAATTTGTATATACTAAAGAGGACGACCTAGAGCTTCTTCAAAGGATGTGTGAAATATTGAATTAGTCTTTGGGGAGATTCTGAGTGTGGTAATGAATCAGTGGAAGTTGAGGAGTTGTTGGAATTTGTAAATTGTCTATTAATTATCGATTTTTTTCAGTCTAATTAGAATCTTTATTTTCTTCTAAATAGCCTAAAACTAGTATTATATCAATTTCATCTATCTAATACAACTCTATCAAATAGATTGACAAAAGTCCATGTCTATGTTTATGTGGTGCCTATAATCCAATTAAAACAAAACCCAATTAAAACAACGAAAATATAATTCTTCAAGCACATCACCACATAAACAATAATGAAATTTAGATTAAAGTTATTAGTAATGGTTAATCTTTATATTTATATACCAATCTCACTCACAATCAGTAAAAGACTAACTAAATAAATGAAAGTTTAAATTATAATTATTAATAATAGTTACTTTCTACACTTATATAATAATCTAACTCAATCTTCCATCTCGATGTGATATTTGGGGCATCATAATCCACTGGATAAACAATGTGAGGTTTATACTACCATAGAAGAAGGAAAAAACACTAACCATAGAAGAAGGAAAAAACACAGATGTTATGTAGGAAATCTATGCTAGTGGGGCAATAACTGTGGAGATGGATATGTTTCAAATAGAAGGTTGCATCGGAACATAATGTTATGTACATATTGTATAAAGTTCCATAGAACAATGTGAGGTTTAATAAATGCATTACACCTAGCAGTACAGTGGGTGTCAACAATATCTCGGTGAGTTTAATTGAAAATCTAAGACTCATCAATACGAAATGCAATAAGTCAACATGAAATTCATTCCATGCAACACCTACATACGAAAAGGTATGTACCAAAAAAAAAAGATAAGTTAAGGAAAAGGTAATCAATAGGGCAGTAGGGCAGTAGGGTAGTGGTATGTGGTAGGGCCATCTCAATGGGAAGGTCAAGGTGGGGAACTGCTTTTAATAAGCTGAAGATCATTTTTTGATTTGGCACACTTATATAGTATATTAGATAATAATTATCAATTATCTTTAAAGTAAATATTGCATCTTATAAGTTACATGCAAAAATATTCCTATATTACAAGTTAAATATATCTAACTTTGATTAAAAGGTAATTTATATACATCGTTTAAGTGGGAAGATGAACAGAATTGTAATACCTCCTAGTAATGATCAATTTCTAAAATTGTACTAATATGGATATTAACAATACAAATGACGTGTGCAACAGATCCGGCAACCAACCGTCACAAAATATGAGAAATATTATATGAATGCTGTTGGGTGGGAACTTTGAATTTATTTTGGAAAGCCATCCAGCACAGGGAAAAAGAAATTGTTGCAAAATTATTTGTTTCTCTGTTAGGGTCAGACTGAGGCTATTGTTTATGCTGAGAGTCGGACATGGAGGGATCATGTGCTCAGTATCCTTCAACAGGTGAGATGGAGGTGGAACTCAATCCTACAAGTGAAAAAGCCTGTGAAATTGTGGCGTTGGAAACCCCTTCAAAGGATGGTTTAGCAGAACCAGAAGATGAGGAGCGGACAGTCCCAGCTGCTGGCATGGTGTTTGACTCTGTCAACAGTGCGCTAGAGTTCTACAGGGGTTACGGGAAGCGGATGGGTTTTGGAGTTTCAATTAGAAACTCAACATTATCTCGGGACGGGACATACCAACGGGTGAGATTGGCTTGTACACGGGAAGGGTTTCCTAGGAGCAAGAACCCAAGGAAGGGTTCAATTTTTGCATCACAGAAAGCAGGGTGCAAAGCAAAAATGACATTAGTACAGACACTGGACGGAGATGGGAGTTATGTGGTAACACTGGTAACGCTAGAACACAGCCACGACCTCAGCCCCTCGAAGGGTCGTCACTTCCGCTGCAATAGAAGCATTTCATTAGGAGTGCGGAGAACACTGGAGATAAATGATAATGCTGGAATAAGGGTCTGCCGTAACTATTTGTCTATTGTGCAAGAACATGGTGGTTATGAAAACATGGGATTCAGTGAGAGAGATTGTAGGAACTATTTAGACCAACAAAGACAGCTTAGGATCGCTGAAGGTGATGGAGAAGCAGTTCGTAGGTACTTTGAAGTAATGAAATTCCAAAGTCCCAACTTCTATAGCAAAATAGAAGTGGATTCAGAACGCCGTGTGACCAATTTGTTTTGGGCGGATGGAAGGACCCGAGCAACATACGAATATTTCAATGATGTTGTTGCCTTCGATACGACCTACCTCACGAATAGGTAAACATTTAAAGTTATTGAAATTAATTGAGGTCATGCAAAGAAAATTTATACTGTTATGTAGTTATATGGACCTTTATTTAGATAGATTTGGGTAAAGGTTAGAAATTAAAAAGGGAAAATCCATAAAGCTTATCCATGAGTAATCGTGTTGCTAGGAATATCAATTAAAAGTAAAAAGGTGTGGGAGCAAAGGTGAGGCAAATAAAGCTGAAGCTGGAAGAAGTAGAAAACTGGGTAAATGAAGGAATAAAGGACCAAAGCCTATGGGAAAAGTAAAAAGTAGGCAACAAATATAGTGTACAAATAGAATGGTTGCAAGATAGGCCACTTAGTGTTTCTATATATATATATATATATATATAAACAGAATAACGGTTGGTAGTGGTAGTGATAGTGGATGGTAAGAGTAGAGGTAGATGAGGTTAGGCAGAAAATTAGGTATTAAGTACGCAAGGTACTTTGAAAGTAGTTCCCATAAAAAATGTAATTCATCATATTTTCTTAATATTTACTTAAACAAAAAACATAAAACCAACCAAAATGGTAATTGTAATTAGGTAATAATCGTGAAGTAATGAAATTATTAATTTTCCTAATAATAGTAAAAGCTATACCAAATGAAATATAATTATATTTAATAGATATATACTACAATTGAAAACCCAATAACGGGATCACATATAAACAATCTTACTTACAAAATTAAAATAATATAAAAATAAAACTAAAACCATTTAAAAAAATGTACACAATAGAGAATATATAATGCATCCTATAAAAGTATTAATATTCAACAAATCAAAAAAATGAAAATAAATGAGAAAGGATAAAAACTAAGATAAGCCTAACTTCTTATGAAGTCAAAAATTTTAAACTTCTTATGAGCTGTGAAATTTCCTGAAGTTCATAATAAGGATGACCTCCAAAGGAGTTTTAAGTCTTCAAATGAGGATAATAGCTAACACAAACACCTTAACCCCATGATGAACAAAATACTAATGTTTTAAGCTTGTAAAATGGAAGAATATAAGCAATGTCTATTATGTTAAAAGATAAAAGAAATTGCAAGTACCATGGATTTGATAAAGAAACAAATCCTAGGATTCTCCATTACTACAAGAAATTTTTAATCTTTATACATACATGCTATTCTTATTATACTCTTGTAATGATCAACACAGGTATGACATGCCATTTGCACCATTTTGTGGAGTCAACCACCACGGCCAAACAATAATGCTTGGGTGTGGGTTATTGGCTAATGAGACAATTGAATCCTTCGTTTGGCTGTTTTCAACATGGCTGGACTGCATGGGGGGTGTTAAACCGAAGGCAATAATAACAGATCAATGCAGAGCAATTAGAAAGGCAGTGCAGATAGTATTCCCTGCTACTAGGCACCGCTAGTGCATCTGGCACATAAGACAAAAATTGCCACAAAAGCTTGCAGCTGTGCAAAGGTATAGGGAGCTTGAGAACACATTCTCAAGCCTCATCTACCATTGCAATGATCGAAATGAGTTTGAACAGAAGTGGCAAGTTATGATCGAAGAACATGATTTAGTCGAGAACCAATGGTTGAAGGACATATTTGAGGAGCGTGAAATGTGGGCACCACCATTTCTGACAGATCACTTTTGGGCTGGGATGTCTTCAACACAGCGAAGTGAAGGTCTAAATGCTTTCTTTGATGGATTTGTTCATGGACAAACAACATTGAATACTTTTGTGGAACAATATGCACTTGCTCAAAGGAGGAAAATGGAGAAAGAAGCAGAAGCAGATTTTCAGTCATATAAGTCAGTGGTCCAATGTGTAACTAAATTGCATTATGAGAAACAATTCCAAGCAGCATACACGCAGGCAAAGTTCATCGAAATTCAAGAAGAATTGAAAGACATGTTGGGAATATTTCCGGAGGTAGTTGAGGAAGAAGGTCAATGCAAAATTTTTCAGTGTGAAGAAGGAAATGGTGGGATGGAAAAAGTCACCTTCCACGCTGAGAAAATTGAATTCACCTGCACCTGTAGGTGCTTTCAGTTCAGGGGAATTGTATGTCGACATGCATTTGCTATGTTACTCCAACAGCGAGTAAAAGAAGTCAACTCAATATACATTTTGGACCGTTGGCGTAAGGATATAACGCGAAGGTATAATTATGAAAATTTTGTTTCCATTGCTTATGACAAAAGGCCAGAAATGGAAAGGTATGACGAACTTCGTCATGTATTATTGCATATCGCTGAGATTGGGTCTGAAATCCCGGAAATGGTGACATATGTTAAAAATAAAGCAACAGAAATGGTAGAGGTGCTGAGTTCGTGGAAAACAAATATAGGAAATCAACATGGGAAAGATGCTAAAAGTTTCAAGAGTAGCACATCAACGAGGGTGAAGAAGAGAGGGACAAAGGTTCCTAATTGTCCGAGAACAGTTAATAATGACCCTAATATTATAGAAAAACTCCCCGTGATGAATCCAACCCATAAAAAACGTCGTGGGAGGCCAACTAAGAACCGCATCAAGACATTGGTCGAGAAGGTTTTTATGAGAAAGAAGAGGAAGAAGGGAAATGAAGCATCGCAGTCAGCTGCTTCTGGTGAACAGGTTGCACATAATAAGGTAAGAAGCTTCAATTCTAAAAGATTTACCTATATTTTGATATTTTACATAGCCTGAAATATTTGGAAATTGACACTGGATAGGAATCTAGTTTAAAATTGTCCTAGTGTTCTCACATTCTTTCTTCATTCTCTAACAATTATACATTTAAATGGCAGAGACAAATTCCATGTATAGAAGAGAATAGGTTTGCATCAATGGAGGAGGTTCTTAGAAATAGCATTGTGTTTGGAAGCAGAAATGACTTGGATGAGTCAACAAATCCCCAAGACCAAATTCCAGCAAGAGTAACAAATTCTATTGATACTCCTCCATCTAAGTCTGGGCCAGTGAACAGAAACGGGCTCCGTCGTAGTACTCGAGTTATAGAGATGAAAACAAAAATCACATGACTAGAATTGTAGTTCCATATAACATCACGTTATTCTAGCAGTTAATCAATGTCTTCGTTAGTATTACAAACTTATAAGGTCCAATGATGATATTATTAGTTTACTATGTATGCTAGATGCCTAGTGTTAATATAATGATCCTAAATGAATTTCATTGTCATGAGAAGCATGTGAGTGCTTTACACATTTTTTTTTACACTATCTTATTTACAAATATAAATTTATGATTTTTAATTAATTTTATTTAATTTTTTTATATATTTTATTAATTTAATTAATATTTTATATTTTTTAATAATAAAAAAATTATATTTATAATATAATATAATATAATATAAAACATTATTGATTTGGTCCGCAATCCTTGTCTATATAAGATTTAATCTTTCTTGCTTATTTTATTATTTTTATTACTAGTATGGGGGCTGAATAAAAAGTATATATGTTATTGGGCCATTAGTCATTCTACAAATCCAATAAAAAAGTTTGAGGTTTGTGGTTATTATTACCATTGATGTGCTTCAAGTTATTGTAGCATTAATATGTTTAGAAACAGTTTTTGCAAATATAATTTAGTTAAGTGCTTTTAATTTTTAAATTAATAAAAAT